AAATTTATGAGTCAGGCATGGCAGAGTGTAGCAAGCTTTCTTGGACTGCCAGTGACATGGCAGAGTGTAGCAGGCTTTCTTGAACCCCAGCTCCCAAATCATGACATGAAGACTTATTATTAATTATGAAAGTTCAGCCTTAGTTTAGGCTTGTCCCACTAGCTCTTTTTGTTGGTTTTTTTTTGTTGTTGTTTGTTTGTTTTTCAAGACAGGGTTTCTCTGAGGCTTTGGAGGCTGTCCTGGAACTCACTCTGTAGACCAGGCTGGCCTCAAACTCACAGAGATCTGCCTGCCTCAGCCTCCCGAGTGCTGGGATTAAAGTTGTACGCCACCACCACCCAACTTGTTCTTTTGTTTTTTGAGACAGAGTTTCTCTGTAGCTTTGGAGCTGTAGACCAGGCTGACCTCAAACTCACTGAGATTTGCCTGTCTTTGCCTCCTGAGTGCTTTTTATTAGACCACTCAGGTGCCTTAGGCAGACAATGTAAAACAAATGCAACTTATCTTTAAATAGTTAAACAAATGCAACATAAACAAATGCACAGATCTTTATTACTTTATTTTTCATATTCCAATCCCAGTTCCCCCTCCCTCCTCTCCTCCTGCTCCCCCCACTTGCCCCCTCTACCTTCCATCTGCTCCTTAGAGAGGGTAAGGCCTCCCCTAGGAAGTCTACTAAGTCTGTTCCATCATCTCTTTGAGGCAGGACCTAAGGCACCTCTCTACCCACCACACCGCTATGCCTAGACTGAGCAAGGTATCTCTCCATATAGAATGGGCTCCACTAAGTCAGTTTGTGCATTAGAGTTAGATTTTGGACCCACTGCCAGTGGCCTCATACATTGTCCCAGCTGCACCACTGCCACCTGTATTAAGGGAGTCTAGTTCAGTCTTATGCAGGTTCTCCATTTGTAAGACCAGAGTCAGTGACCTCTCACTAGCTCAGGTCAGCTGATTTTGTGGGTTTCCCCATCATGATCTCAAATCCTTTGTTCATATTATAACTTCTCCCTCACTTTGATTGTACACCAGGAGCTCGGTCCAATGGTTAGTTGTGGATTTCTGCATCTGCTTCCATCTGTTTCTGGAAGAGGGTTCTAGCTTCCCAGGGGTTGTAGATTGTAGACTGGGTATCTTTTGCTTTATGTCTGGTATCCACTTATGAGTGAGTACATACTATATTTGTCTTTCTGGTTTTAGGTTACCTCACTCAGGATGGTTTTTTTCTAGATCTGTCCATTTGCCTGCAAATTTTAGGATGTCATTGTTTCTTACTGCTAAGTAGTACTCCATTGTATAAATATTCCACATTTTCTTTAGCCATTCTTCTGTTGAGGGGCATCTAGGTTGTTTCCATGATCTGGCTATTATGAATAATATTACTATGAACATAACTGAGCAAGTGTCTTTGTGGTGTGAATGAATGCACATGTCTTTACATAGAGTAATACTCTACAACATAAACAAATGTAACACATCTTTACATAGTTAAATCAGTATTTCACAATAGCAGAGAACAGCTTTAATCCTAGGAAGAAAGGCGAATCTCTGAGTTCAAAGTCAGCCTGGTCTACATGGTACATTCCAGATCAGCCAGGGCTACATAGTGAGACCGGAATAAAAAAATAAACAAATTGATCAAAATAAAATTTAAATGGGTTTGTGTGAGTATATGCCACATGTGTTCTGGTACCCACAGAGACCAGAAGAGTGTGTCAGCTCCCCTAGAGCAGCTGGGGTCCCAGTTCAGCCCTCTTATTTTTTTAAAAAAATTATGTTTATCAGAGATGCAGAGATGGCTCAGTGGTTAAAAGCACTTGCTGATTTTCCAGAGTTCCCAAGTTTTGGTCTTAGCACCCCAAAAGGTAGCTTGCATCCAGCTTCAAGGGATCTAATGCCTCTGGCCTCTGGGTGCCTACACTCATGTGTACATACCCACATGAGAACAGACACAATTAAAAATAAATATTTTACGTGTGTATGTGTGTGTGTGTGTGTGTGTGTGTGTGTGAGAGAGAGAGAGAGAGAGAGAGAGAGAGAGAGAGAGAGATAGAGAGAGAGAGAGAGAGAGAGAGAGAGACAGCATGTTGCAATCAGAGGCCATCTTGCAGGAGTCAAAGTTCTCCTTCTACCATGTGTGATCTGGCACTTGAACTTGATCCATCATGCTTGGTGGCATGTACTTTTATCCATTAATCCATCTTGTTGGCTCTTGGGGAGTGTTTTGTCTTTTGAGGCAGGATTTCTCTGTAACAGCCTGTCCTGGCACTCACTCTGTAGACCAGGCTGGTCTAGAACTCACAGAGATCCATCTGTCTCTGTCTCCCAGGTGCTGGGATTAAAGATACTCATCACCATGCCCATGTTTTGTTTTGTTTTGAATTCCAGACTTTCTTGGTCTTCTGGAAGCTGTTACATCACTGGGGAGAGTATCCAAAATGCTGAGTTGTGGTCAGCTGTTCTTTCTTAACACCCACCCCCCAAAAACCTGGCTGGAAGGAGGTACATCCTGGAGGCAAACCCTAGACTCTCCCATTGCAGAAAGATGGTGCCTATCCTTAGGGGTTTGGTTCTGGAGTTCAAGGTTCCAGGTACCCCCTGCTGCTTGTCTTTGTAGCCACTCCTTCTCAACTGTTAAGGTCATCCGTCAGCTTTACAGAGAGAGAGCAGAGCAGCCTGAGTCCCGTTGGCCAGAAAGTTGAAGGTGTATCTGGTGAAGTGAGGTCTCCGGTTCTGACAGAACCTGCTGGCTACATCTGGCCCCATCCCTTCAGGTGTAAGCCAGTAAGCCAGGTGTGCTCAGGGTTTGGGGGGCTCTGAGCTGGGTTCTCTCTGAAGCCTCACCATCGTGATGGTTTACGTATTCATGCTACCCTGGTAGGTATGTCAGTGCTACATTTTGCACAAGGATAAGCAGGTTGGAGAATGGTTATGGCCCAATCTCTGGTTGTTGTTTGCATTTGTATTGTGTTAGGGTTGCTATTATTGTAATGGAACACCATGGAAAAAAAGCAATTTGGTGAGGAAAGTGTCTTAGTTAGGGTTTCTATTATGTGATGAGACACCATGCCTATGGTTAATGGTGGTATGCAGACATGGTGCTGGTGCTGGAGAGAGAAAGAGAGAGAGGTGAGAGAGAGAGAGGTGAGAGAGAGAGAGAGAGAGAGAGAGAGAGAGAGAGAGAGAAACTGGTCTGGCTTGATTATTTGAAAACCCAAAGTTCACCCCTAATGACACATTTCCTTCAATAAAGTCACATCTACCCCAACAAGGACACACCTCCTAATAGTGCCACTCCCTGATGACCAATCATTCAAATATATGAGCCTATGGGGCCATTCCTATTCAAACCACCACAAAAGGATTTATTTGGCATACATTTCCACATCACTGTTCATTACTGAAAGAAGTTAGGTTAGGAACTCAAGCAGGACAGGAACCTGGAGGCAGAAACTGATACAGAAGCCATGGAGGAGTACGGCTTACTGATTTGCTCCTCCTGGCTTGCTCAGCCTGCTTTCTTTGTTGATACAAGGTTTCTCCGTGTAACCCTGGCTGTCCTAGACCTCACTCTGTATACTAGGCTGACCTGAAATTCAGATCTACTTGCCTCTGCCTCCACAGTGCTGGGATTAAAGGCAAACATCACCATGCTCAGCATCAACCTGCGGTCTTATAGAACCCAGGATCACCAGCTCAGGGTGACCTCAAGCACAATGTCCTAGGCCTTCCCACATCAATCACAAGGTAAGAAACTGCCCTACAGGCTCACCTACAGTCCAATCTTATGGAGACATTTTCTCAGTTGAGGTTCTCGCTCAGATGACTCTAGCTTGTGTCAAATAGTCAGCAAGGTATGTTCCAGAGAGCCCATGACTGTTTTTCTTTTTTTTCTAACTTTCCATCCTTTAAAGGTGGCATAATTCGGGTTGGGGATTTGGCTCAGAGGTAGAGCATTTGCCTAGCAAGTGCAAGGTCCTGGGTTCAGTCCTCAGCTCTGGAACAACAACAGCAACAAAAAAGGCACATAACAAAAGTGACTTAATTTACCTTTATTAGGGATCACAAAGCCTTGGGGAAGGAGGTGGCAAAGGCCTCTGTGCTGTTGTGGTTTCTGAGTTTGGCAGTGTGAGAAGCCACTGGTCTCCCAGAGCTAACTTGCCACGGTAAGCTGACGGACCGGAAACTCCCCAGGGTTCAGGGGTCAGTCCTGCGGCAGCACCCAGATAACAACTAAGGTGGGTGGGCTCATCCACCACCTGCTCTGTGAAATCAGTGGCCACTGCGGGACTTATGGTGTTGAGTCTCGGCGATCAATTGTCAATGATCAGTTAGTGAGCCCACTGCAGATGCTCAGAGGCAGTCAGGGTCATGGTGAAGGATGAGAACTTTTTTTTTTTTTTCAAGACAGGGTTTCTCTGTATTGTTTTGGAGGCTGTCCTGGTCCTGGAACTCGCTCTGTAGACCAGGCTGGCCTTACTCACAAAGAGATCCGCCTGCCTTTGCCTCCCAAGTGCTGGGCGCCACCACCGCCCGGCCTGAAGGATGAGAACTTTAAGTTGAACAGTAATTCTGCCCTACATATCTGGTTGGCCAGGCACGGCCAGGAAGGGAGGCTGTGGGAGAGGAAAACCCGTCTTAAAATGTCCTCAAGCATACTGGGTCACCTTTTTCTCTGGACCTGGCGTACCGGGCTGGACTGAGATTTGGGGGGGACGGGATTCCTGCAGCCCACTTATTGTTCCTGACAGTGTCTTGTCCCGGGAGCGGCCAGCTCGTTTCTCCGAGACAGAAGAGAATCCACATCGCCCCGCCCTCAGCCATCCCCCAGTGCGCACGCGCCAGCCGCACTTTGCGCATCGGCGGGACGCCACTCCTCCCAGACAGCTGAGACACCGGGGGACACCCAGGAACGGAGAGTAGAGCCCTCCACCAAGCTGCCTAGAGAAGTGCTTCCACTCGCAAACAGCGCACCGGAAGCGGAAGCGGTGCTAGGCCAGCCCTCGGGAGCCATCTTGGAAGCTGAGAGGCGGCGGCGGCGGCGGCAGCAGCGAAGACGCTGCGGCGGGTGCGGTGGGCTAAGTCCCAGCGCGGGTGCGGCTCACAGAACGGGCCCCACTCTTCCGCACCCTGCTCTGGCCTCGACCACGGCGAACCTGAACGCGGCGGCGGCCTCAGGGAGAGGTGAGCGCTCGCGGGCTGCTCGGGGCCTCGGGCCGCTCGTTCGCCCCGCCGGAGCCGGCCACAGCGGCGGGCGGGGACTCGGGTGGCTGGGGGGGTGGGGACGACACCTCCTCACGTCGGGTCCGGTTCGTTACGTCGCCTGCTGTGCCTGCCCCCCATCACCCCCCGACCCCGAGCGTCCCTTCGCGGACCCGCGGTCGGTTCCTGAGGACGCTTAAGGGGTTGGGTTCCTGGCTGGGGTTTGGTCCCTTGGGCAGGTGAGAGCTTTGGTTTGCCACGCGGCAGGACCTCCCACGAAGAGGCCTGTGGGGTTGGTGAACTTGAGAAGTCCTTCCAGGAGTAGTCGGGGTTGATGAGGGTTGTGTCGTGGGGGTGGCAGCCGTTGAGTGCCCCCTTTCATCTTGAACAGTTAGAACCTCGGGCTGCTTAATAAACGAGCGCGTCCACCGTTATGCCCTTGGAGGTAATAGAACACTTGACGGTAAAGAGTGGGACTTGGACCCTGAACCAGACTCTGTCCTCTGCCGGGGGGAGGCGGGAGGCGGGGTGAGGACGGTGTGTGTGTGTGTGTGTGTGTGTGTGGGCTTATTCACTTTGACTAACTGCAGACTCAACCCATGACCTCACCTCCTTTTCAGGGTACATCACTTAGTAGGTAACACAAGTCAAGTTCCCAACATCGTGTCAGATCCAGATAGGCAACTAGGAAGAGATAAGGCCATGATCACCATAAGCTAACAAGTGCATTTAAAATAGCCTTTTTGTAAGTAGTGGCCCAAGGGTTTATTCATTCCAGGTGTGTGAAATGGTAATTTAGTGTCAGTGGGGGGGAAAAGGGGATTTTAGGTTTTTATTTTAATTGGAAGGTTCAGTGTATGAACTTCAGGCAGAACTAGGTCTGGGTGCTAGAATTTTTGGATTCATTAAGTCTGCACATCATGGTGTACCTGAACTCAGTGTCAGCTCCGTTGTCAGGTGTATGTGAGAAAGTGGTGGTTAGACTGCTTCTCTGAGCCTCTGGCTTCTCTCCTTCCTGTGGAGTAACCCTGGAGAAGGTAAAACTCACTGAAAACCCTGGCCTTGGGTGTGTCGTGTACGATTCTGATCAGTCGGGCCAAGGTCTTATTCCACTTGGTCAGCTGACCTGTCTGTACTCAGTGAGAGAGAGAGAGAGAGAGAGAGAGAGAGAGAGAGAGAGAGAGAGAGAGAGAGAGAGAGAGAGAGAGAGGTCCAAAAGAAAAGGAACTACCACCTTGGTGCAGTGATGTTGGACAGGAAAGATTTATACTGCTAGTGACAGACTGCTTCCTGTCATCTGCAGTCCCCTAGGAGAATCATGAAAGAAAGTGCTGTTTTGAGTGAGGTAGAGGAGGAGCAATTTAGGGGCAACTGAACAGTTGAATCATGAATATGATTTTAAGCAAGCTTGAGGATGCAGCTTAGTGATAGAATACTTGCCTACCCTGTGTGAGGCTCTAGGTTCAATTTCCAGTGCAGAAAGGAACAAAAAAAGTTGAAACCTGTCATAGTGTCACATTCCATTAATATTGGCACTTGGAGGGCAGAGGCAAGAACATCTTTGAGGCCAGTCTTGTCTAAATGGTGAATTCTAGGACAGCCAGAGCTACTCAGTAAGACCTTATGTGGGGGGGGGGGAATAAAAGCAAGTATGAGAGGAACCCTTGTCTTGTGACTGACTGACTAGGCAAAATAAGTTTCAGTTTTGGCTTTTTGAGATAGGGTATCTCTTTGTAGCCCTGGCTATCCTGAACCTCACTCTGTAGACCAGGCTGACCTCAAACTCACACAGATCTGCCTGTCTGTGCCTTCCAAGTGCCAGGATTAAAGATATGTTTCACCATACCCAAGGTTTTTTTTTTTCCTTTATTTTTTATTTCTTAAAAAAGACAGGTTCTCGCCGGGCGTTGGTGGAGCACGCTTTTAATCCCAGCACTTGGGAGGCAGAAGCAGGAGGATCTCTGTGAGTTTGAGACCAGCCTGGTCTACCGAATGAGTTCCAGGATAGGCTCCAAAATAATACAGAGAAACACTGTCTTGAAAAAACAAAACAAAGACAGGTTCTCAAAAAAAAAAAAAAAAAAAAGACAGGTTCTCATGTATTCCAAGCTACATAGATTAGGATGACTTTAAGCTTATGATTCTGCCTCTGCCTATCCACTTCTGGGAGGACAGGTATGCACCACCATGCTCTGTTTATGTGGTGCCAGGAATCAAACCCAGGGCTTCATGCATGCTAGGCAAGCACTTAGCCAACTGAGTTACATTTATAACCTGGCACAACTAACCTTGCTACTTTCCTGTGTGTGTCCACTAACTTTGTACATGTTGGAGTATTAACTTCAAGGGTGAACATAAGAGAAAGAATAAGTCTTGTGTTTCTGCTTGTGGATCATTCTATTGCTTTGTTTCTTACTAGGTGCTGGGCAAGTTGAGCTGTCTGGCCCACATGGCTTCTGAAGCCAAGAACTTGGGGACAATGTTTTCTGGAAGCATTTCTTGGCCATGCTGGACAGTAACCTTGTTCCTGGTGTGAGCATTCTTGGAAACATCAGGCAAAAGCCATTGATTCTGCCAGAAAGGTTCTTGTGTACTATACTCTTAGAACATGGGGGTGGTGGTGGTGGTGGTGGTGGTGGTGGTGGTGGTGGTGGTGGTGGTGGTGGTGGTGGTGGTGGTGGTGGTGGTGGTGGTAGTGGTAGTAGTGGTGGTGGTGGTATGGTTGTAAAGGACAGAAAAGGAGGCATTTGACCCTGATGGATGTAGCTCAGACTAGGCAGGTAGGGAAGGATCTATTTCTTACCAGTCCAAGCTGGGCTGGGAAGGTTGGGCTTTATTAGGTGCTATGAGAACCAGGTCTGGATGGCTTGTTTTAAGGGTTTGTTTGGCAGAGAAAGAAGCCGTTGCTGTTTATCTGCTGTCTTTGGTGGGGAGTGGATGGTTAGACTGCATTGATTTTAGTGCATAAGATGAGTTGAAGTGTGAAGAGATCTGAGGTTCTAGTGGTTAACGGGAAAGTAATGTGTTTCTGCATTATGGTTATCGGGATTGGAACGAAGTGAACAAGTAATGTGTGGATTAGGGTTCATCCCCCACTTCCCTAATTGAGCAGCAACATGGGCACTTTTGCTGATACTGTGCGCATGAGAGGGCTGTGCTGGATACCCTGGCTGAGCTGTCTCCTCTGTAGACCCTGGGGGTACAGAATAAGTACATACCAAGTCCTGGTTGTTATTAGGTATCAGTACTGGTAGAGGAGGCAGATGCTGAGGTCTGTGGTGATGGTGTCTACCAAGAAATTAGCCAGATCAGAGGGTTAAAAGTTGTTGACTCTCAAATATGTATAAGCAAATACTGAAGAGAATGAAAGAACATTAGCTATCTGCTGGGACTAATTCATACAAAGACTAGGATAGAGTTGACTTTAGGTTTATCTAGTTTGGGAGGTCAGGATGGGGAATCACAGCTATTGATTTTGCTGATGTCTAGAGTTATGGTTAAAGTGACCAGACAGCACTGTGTGAGACAGGTTAGGGATAGAGTGGCCAAGTAATAGTGGTAGGAGAAAAAGGATGAGGCTGCAGTGGACAAATCTGGGTTTCCAGTATCTCAAGATGTGGCCATCTGTAACTGCCCATGTCCAACCTGCTCTCTTATAGCCCAAGCTCATCTCCTGCTTTTTTCACTTAAACTTAAATATATTTATTTTTAGTTGTAGGGAGGTGTGTGCCATAGCATATGAGTAGAGGTCAGAGAAGGGACAGCTTGTGATAGTCAGTTCTCACTTGTCATATAGGTCCTGGGAGTTGAATTCAGGTCATCAGACTTGGCAACAAATGTCTTTATCCACAGAACTATCTCAATCTTACCAGATTATTATCTCCTCTCTAATTTGTATATTCTCAAGTGGCCCCTCAATTGTATTTTAGACTAATAGTTTTCATACTTTATTTTTAGTTGTAGATTTTTTTTTTGTGTTGTTTCTATCTTAAATCATGAGAAAAGAGAGCAAGTAGGAGCTCTTCTGACTTCCATGGCAGTGGGAACCCTATTTCCCTCCATCACTGCCTCCTTGTCTTGTCTTTGGGAGTATAGCTAAGGGGTCTGAGTCCCTGATTCAATTCCTTTCTCTTTTGAGACAAGAGTCTCACTATGTAGACTGAGGTTTGGCCTCAAACTCAGAGATTTGCCTGCCTCTGCCTCCCAAGTGCTGTGATTAAAGATGCATACCACTACATCCAACTTTAACAGTTTATTTATTTATTTATTGTTTGTAGATGCATGTATGTTTGTGCATGAGTGGGCTTGGTCAGAGGACAATTTGAAGCAGATAGTTCTTTTCCTTCTATCTGGATTCTGAGGATCAAACTCCTTCCATCAGTCTTGTCTGGCAAGCACTTTTACCTGCTCACTGAACTGTCTCAAAAGCCCTAGTCCCTTTTCTTCAGCATTGTCCTAGTTTCACTTCCTGTATGTGTCCTTCACTGCTGCTTTATGTTGAGGTCCCAGGTGATCTTCCTAATAGAAGGTCCTGATGTACTGTCTTAGTGTTCTACTGCTGTGAAGAGATACCATGACCATGGCAACTCTTATAAAGGAAAACATTTAATTGGGGCTGCGTTACAGTTTCAGAGGTTTAGTACATTTGGGTGGACATCGTGCTAAAGAAGGAGCTGAGAGTTCTACATCTTGATCCATAGGCAGCAGAAGTGAATGCCTGTCTCAGCCTAGCTTGAACATCTGAGACCTTATACCCTGCCCCCACAGTAATCCAGTTTCTCCAACAAAGTCACACCTACTAATAGTGCTACTTGCAGTAAGCCTATAGAGGCCATTCTTACTCAAACTACCAAGTGTACCTTAAGACTGGAGCCTAATATTCTTGGGATTCTGGAAGTTTGTCTTTGTCTCTCTGGCTAGTCTTGTTCTTTGTCCTTCACTGTGTTTGAGCTCCTGCCTGACATGGTGACCAGTGTGCTTCCCTAAACATGCCTTTTCCTCTGCCTAGTACATGCATCTAGATCTCTGAAAATATCACTTCATCTCTTTACCCCTACTGCTGTTCCTTGTGACCATCAATAAATATGTAATAGGCTTTCAAGCCAGGAGAATACCTGTGGTATTCACTAATTTCTTGTTGTAAAACATCCATTACTGAGGTGTTGCCGAACAGTTAAAGGATGTGTAGAGTTGCTCTTTGGAGCTGGTGCAGGCTGGCTTCAGCGTGCCTACCCAGATCCCACTTGAATGAGCTAATCTGTAAATTCTTTGAGAACAGGAATGCAGCTTCATGGTTCTTTCTACCTTGCATCTCTATTAGATACTTGGTATCATGTTGAATAAATGAAAGTGGTTATGGTGGTAGGGACATATAGAAAAAGAGAACCGAGGGAAGGACTTGATGGTTGGTGGACTGCAGAAAGGAAAGCAGAGGTAGTCATCTGCTGAAGTTGTTCATAGTGAGGAAAGCATGTATGTGTTCTGTTCATTGTAAATAGAGATGCTTTTTCTTTTTAAATAGATGAGCAGTAACAGCAATAAGAGAGCTCCAACAACAGCAACACAGAGGTTGAAACAGGACTACCTTCGAATTAAGAAAGACCCGGTGCCTTACATCTGTGCAGAGCCCCTCCCTTCAAATATTCTTGAATGGTAAGATTCTGCATTCTTGCTCATCCTGCATCATAGTAACTCTCTTGCAGGTTCTGTAGTGGTCTGTCTAGTGGGCCTGGTCATGGCAGAGGCAGTTGGGTAATTCCTCAGCTTTGGAGGGACACTTGACAAGCCTGTCAGTACTCTGGGGTTTGCAATGAATGCCATGTCATGAGTATTAGGGAGTTAGTTCTGCTTGACTTAGGCTAGGGCTGAAAGGAGAAATCTTCTTGGGTAGTCCTCATTGCAGGCTTTGGTATACAAAGCTCTCAGATGTTATTCATGTAAATTAGGGCTAGGCTGTATTTTTGCTTCTTTTTTTTTTCTTTTTGGTTTTTCAATGCAGGGTTTCTCTGTGGAGGCTGTCGTGGAACCAGGCTGGTCTCGAACTCACAGAGATCCACCTGCCTCTGCCTCCCAAGTGCTGGGACTAAAGTCGTGCGCTACCACCACCCAGCCCATTTTTGCTTCTTGACACTGGGAATTAGCTATCTAGCCTGGGAGCATTGGTGGCAAAGTCTTGACACTAAACCCTGACTCTGACCTAGGCCAAGTGCTCATAATTCTCAAGCTGACAGATACAAAACCTATGGAAAATACTTGTTTCATGATAGCTCTTTTGCTGTGTTAAAAGTTAAAAGAGTCATGAAATTACATGTTCTCTGTGGAAATGCTCATTACCAGCTTTGGTGAGTGTAAAGAGAAGCCTTTTCCTTGAGAGAAGCCTTCCCTCCAGCCTGGTTCCAGAGCCACATCAGTCCCAAATGAACATACAGGAGGCTATATTAATTATGAAGCTGATGGCCTTGCTTGTTTCTTACTGGCTAGCTCTGACTTAAGTATTTATCCCATAATTGCTAATCTAAGTATTTCTCTTACCGGAGAGGTTTCCGGGCTTCCTACCCCATGGCGTTACATCTTGACTTCCTCTGTTTCTCCTTCCCAGAGTCCTCCTGGACTCCTAGTCCCACCTATCTTGGTTCCCTATTGGCCAACAGTGCTTTATTGACATATATACAGGACTTCTCCCATCAGGTGAGCATTTCTTAGTGGGTGTGGTACACACCTTTAATCCCAGCATTCAGAAGGCAGGTGGATCTCTTGAGTTCCAGGCTAGCCAGTACTGTGTAGTGAACCCCCTCCCCTTTTTTAAAGACATTTCTCTTGCTTTGATGGATTTGATCTTTAAAAAAAATACTGCCGGGTGTGGTGGTGTACACCTTTAGTCCTAGAACTCAAGAGGCAGAGACTGGCAGATCTCTGAGTGCAAGGTCATCCTGGTCACAAAGTTAGTTCCAGGACAGGCAGGGCTGTTACATAGAGAAACCCTGTATCAACAAAAACAACAACAACAACAAAAAAAACCCCTTTACTTTTAGAGTTTTCAAAATCTAGAGAAGATTTTCCCAAATCAAAAAGAATTATTTTGCAGATTGGATGTTGTTGACAGAGGAAATGCATGAGGAGCCTCTTTGGTGGCATTAGAACTAACCCTGTTCCAGTGATGAAAAATCAGATGTGGTCCCTGGAACATAGTTGGCTGATATGGGAACAAGTTTCATTGATGGCTTATCTTTTACCTAGTTTGTGGGAATTTCTTTGTTGTGTGTGGAATGCCTCTTCATGTGCTGGTTAGAGGTCTCTAAGTCCACCCTTTGATTTGATTATGTTCTAGGAAGGACTTGCTTGAGATTGAAATTAAAGCAGTTTTTTTTTTAGTTGCATTTATTATGGGTACAATGTGCCACCTCATATATGTGGAGCTCAGAGGATAATTTTAGGAGTCAGTTTTCTTCTTCCACCATAGGGGATCCTAGGAATAGAACTCAGGTCATCAGATTGGTAGTGTGTGCTTTTACCCACTAATCCATCTCTCCAGCTCTCACTTAAGATTTGCTAGAACAAAAAGGCCAAAAAAGCAGTGAAGGAAAGAGGTAGGAGGAGTGAAGTCCAAAGGAATGCAGAAAGAAGCATCTAGATTACTGGCCCTGGGCGTTTGCTCAAAGCACATGTAGCTCCTCACAGTGAGCTTGAACAGCATGTGTGGCATGTCACTGAAGAAGCTCATCAGACACTTGGTGCCTAGGTTCTTTTTGAGTGGCCATTAGGTACCTTTGCCTGCCACCCACTGAAACACCAAATTCTTGGAGGGAAGGTTTTAGAATGAACCCTGATGTGTATATCTGTCCCCTTGTTGCTGAGAGTGGTGGGTATTGTCCTCAAACAACAGTGTCAGGCCTTTTGTGATAACTCTAGTTTTAGGGAATTCATGGTCTACAGATCAAATAATTTGTTTCTCTCTCTCTCAGGCATTATGTTGTCCGAGGCCCTGAGATGACTCCTTATGAAGGTGAGTAGAAAAAGACGTGAATCATTCCTATCAGGTAAATAACAGTATTTCTGTTTTGGATATGTAGTAGTTAAATCAGAGTTAACAGAATCTCATCCTAGTATTTCTTTAAATCCTAGAAATGTTTGCTCATTTTAGTATTTCTGGACTGTTTGTAATTAGCATCTGCATTTCCCCAGCCTCTTATGTTGGTTAGAGGTGGGAAAAAGATATTTTTTTAAAAACTATTTTATGTGTATGGGTATTTGCTTGCTTATATGTTTGTATACCATGTGTGTGCCTGGTGTCCACAGAAGAGGTAGTCAGATCCTGGAGTTACAGATGATTGTGATCTACCATGTGGGTGCTGGGAATTGAACCTGGATCCTCCTGCAAGAACAGCAAGTGCTCTTAACTGCTAAGCCATCTTTCCAACCCAGGAAAAAACAGATAGTAATAAGTTGGAATAAATAGTAAAACATTCTTCTGTGTCTAAGGCCAAAAGAAATGTCAAAAAATTTGTGCTAGTTGCAGGCAAATGGACAGAACTAGAAAAAAACCATCCTGAGTGAGGTAACCTAAAACCAGAAAGACAAATATAGTATGTACTCACTCATAAGTGGATACCAGACATAAAGCAAAAGATACCCAGTCTACAATCTACAACCCCTGGGAAGCTAGAACCCTCTTCCAGAAACAGATGGAAGCAGATGCAGAAATCCACAACTAACCATTGGACCGAGCTCCTGGTGTACAATCAAAGTGAGGGAGAAGTGATAATATGAACAAAGGATTCGAGACCATGATGGAGAAACCCACAGAATCAGCTGACCTGAGCTAGTTAGAGATCACTGACTCCAGTCTGACAAATGGGGAACCTGCGTAAGATCAAACTAGACTCCCTTAATACAGGTGACAGTAGTGCAGCTGGGACAATGTATGAGGCCACTGGCAGTGGGTCCAAGATCTAACACTAATGCACAAACTGATTTAGTGGAGCCCATTCTGTATGGAGAGATACCTTGCTCAGCCTAGGCATGGAGGTGTTGGGGGTAGAGAGCTGCCTTGGTACTGCCTCAAAGAGATGATGGAACAGACATAGTAGCCTTCCTAGGGGGAGGCCTTACCCTCCCTAGGAAGCAGATGGGAGGTGGGGGGAGTGGGAAGAGAGAAGGGAGGGTGAACTGGTATTGGAATGTAAAAAATAAAGAAAAAAAAATTGTGCTAGGTACAAGTTTTGAGACAGAGTTTCTCTTTGTAACAGTCCTGAAACTCACTTTGTAGACTAGGCTGGCCTTGAACTCACAGATATCTGCTTGCCTCTGTCTTCTAAGTGCTGGGATGAAAGGCATACACCACCACTGCCTGCAGGTCCCCCCCCCTTTTTTTTTTTGCTAGGCACTTATTAGTCTTCAGAATAGTTTCCAAGCTAAGTGGAGGCACGTGAGGCTTAGGAAGGATACAGGAACAGGTTCTCTCTTTTCTGCTTGCTAGTTTTGACCTGGTATTCTGATCCCTCAGATAACCAGATACTATTAGGGCCTTCAGTGATTTTGACAGATTAGTCCTTGGAATGGTCAGTCAGCAGATTTCTAGGGCTCTATGGCAAGATTGATACCATCTCTGCCTAGGGCAGAACACTGGCCAATTGGGCAGGGCCTCTGCTTCTAACCATCAGGCCTAACTTAAGATGACAAAAACAACAGGTCTTAGGCTATAGGTGGAAACCTTGTGGAACACTTCAGAGAGGAGGTTTTAGTGGTTCTGTGAGGCTCTGGGTTCCATCCTCAGTATAAACAAAAAAAGGTTTTGTTTGAGAGCAAAAGGGCAAACTTTTTTTTAAATTTTATTTATTTATTGTGTATACAGTTATCTGCCTGCATGCCAGCGGAGGGCACCACATCTCATTCAGTGTGGTTGTGTGCTAGCATGTGGTTACCGGGAATTGAACTCAGGACCTCTGGAAGAACAGTCAGTGCTCTTAACTGCTGAGCCATCTCTCCAGCCCCAGGGCAAGCCTTTTCTTCACTAGGTTTGCCTTTAGTCCAGGAATCCCAAGTTTTTTTTGGTTTTGGTTTTGGTTTTGGTTTTTAAAGATTTATTTATTTATTATGTACATAGTGTTATGTCTGTATACCAGAAGTGGGTACCAGATCTCATAGATGGTTATTAGCCACCATGTGGTTGCTGGGAATTGACCTCAGGACCCCTGGAAGAGCAGCCAGTGTTCTTAACTGCTGAGCCATCTCTCCAGCCCCTGTTTTTAATTTTTTGAGACCAAATTTCTCTGTAGTTTTGGAGCCTGTCCTGGAACTTGCTCTCTAGACTAGGCTGGTCTTTTTTTTTTTTTTTAAAGATTTATTCAGTTATTATGTATATAGTATTCTGCCTGCATTATGGTTGCACACCAGAAGAGAGCACCAGATCTCATTATAGATGGTTGTGAGCTATCATGTGGTTGCTGGGAATTGAATTCAGGACTTCTGGAAGAGTAGCCAGTGTTTAATCGCTGAGCCATCTCTCCAGCCCAGACTAGGCTGGTCTTAAACTCACAGAAATCATCCTGCCTCTGCCTCCTGAGTGAGATTAAAGGTGCGTGCCACCACTGCCTGGCTATTGTTTCTAATTTTTAAATATATTTGTGTGTATGCACATATGTGTATGTGACATGATGTATATGTAGGAACTCATAGAGGTGTTGGATTCCTTGTAACTATAGTTACAGAGAGTTTTGAGCAGTCATATGGATGCTTAGAAACAAACCCCAGGTCCAGGTCCTCTACAAAAGCAACAGGTGCTTTTAACTGCTGAACCTCTCCATCCTGTTTTTAAATTTTAAAGTAAATAGTGAGCATTTAAACACTGTGTGACAAGAACTCCCCTAGCAATAGACCAGCCAAGGTTAGTTGGCGTGGTGGGCTGGATGCAGGGAGAAAAGAGGGTGGCCCTGAAGGATATGTGATCAGAGTCTTGGGGATTACGGGATCTTGAATCTCAACCCTGACCCTGTCACTGTGCTTCCACCTGGTCCTATTTCTTAACCCATAACTCTAGTGTCTTAGCCATTAATGGTTGTATCCCCTATTCTTCCAACTCCTTATCCTGTTCTGTGTAGTTCTGTAGGTTGTCCCTCAATCTACCAATATACTGAACCCTTGTCAGTTCCTTCTTTACTGCCTCAGCTGTCCCTGCTCAATGGTACTATCCTTTGGTGGCTGCAGATAAACGTTCTCCCAGATTCTATAAGGAATCCTCGTCCTCAGTTTTGTGCCCTCTAGTGTATGATGCTGTTGATGAATACTTTCCTGGTGTGCTCTTCCTCCTTTATGTTTGAGGCATTCTGGCTCTTCCTCCTTGCCTTCTTAATGACTCCTCTGCAACTCAACATCTTTGTCCTGTGACAAAATTTGCACAAGAGTACAAAATTTGCTTCCTATGGGAAGTTTGCTAATAATTTACCACTAGTTGAGGACTTAATGTGATGTTATTCGTGTTTTAGGACTATTAAGGCTTACTCTAAAATTTACATGAAAGGTCAAAGGACCTAAAGTAGTTTTAAAAAAATGTTTTTGAAAGGAGAATTAAGTGGAGGAGTCACTGTTTCCCATATATTCTGTAGCTCTAGCAGTGAGGAAGAAGCAGTGGTGCATGGAAATAGATTGGGGAGCATAATGTAGAACCCAGAAACAGTGCACGTCACCAGGCCAGTTGATGTTGACAAAGCACAAGCCAGTAGCGAAGCAAAACCTGACAAAATGGTCTAGAGCAGCTGGACATCTATGGTTCTGCTGTGTTCTCTGGGTTTCTGTCCCTAGACTTTGGCCAAGGTTATGCTTATGATCCAAACCTCATAGATTCTTCTCTATTCTCTTGTGTTCCATGGCAAGAACTGACTTTGATTGCAGGGGAGAGGGTCTGTCTTACTGTGGTCATTTTGGTAAAAGTATTCCTTTGGGACATCTTCATGCTTTGAGGGTGAGACCCATGGCTACCCACAAACCACTGAGTAATTTAACCTGTGTCTTGGAAGTAGGAGTAGAGATCAGTGGTAGGGTGCTTGCTTAGCATGTGCAAGGCCCTAGGTCTAATCCCCAGCACAACAAATTAATAAATAATGTGTATTTATACACAATCGCACCTTAGTGTGGGTATGGGGTGTGGGTAGAGGTGTGTGTGTTCTGCTGGTCTGCACTTTGTGAGGAAGCTAGAGAAGAGTGCCAGGTCTCTATCCCATTGAAGCACTTTCCATGAACCTGGAACTCATATTTTTCTGCTAGACTAGCAGCTAACAAGCCTCAATGATACGTCTGTCTCCATCATATTGTTAGAGTTGTAAGCTTGAATGGGACCATCTTGTTCTGTGGGTTCTAGAATCCAAACTCAGATCTTCATGCTTGCATAGCAGGCTCTTAACTGTTAATTTATCTCCCCAGCCTTCATTTATGTGTTATTTAGTGCAGCTAGTTGACTGATGTTCAGTAACTTGCTGTTTTCTTATCTAATTTGCACGTTACATAGTATGTAGATTCCTCTTTCACCCATGCTCATGCCTGACATCGATTCATGTGATCCTTTTCTTAGAAATGTGAGTGTTTCCTATTTTTTTTCCCTGCAGACAAATGCTGGTGCTAGGAATGTATTTGCTAGGAATCAAATGAAGTAGTGAAGGAGACTGGGACCCCTTGCAAGTTCTCTTCTGAGTTCTTAGTAAGGGAGGAACATGAAGAGTCTGGGGGGAGAGAAGAGGTGTTCTGTAGCTGTAGATGGAGAATCAGAAGCTGAGATGTTGGAGTATCATGAGTCCTGGTGAATAAAGTCAGTAGTGGGTTTTGCCTGTGAGCCAGCATAGAGAGATGGCAGTGGGATATACCATGTGCTCTGGAAGCCAGCTGCAAATTGGGTAAAGTTGGTGAGAGTTGAGAAGCAGTCACACTGGATGTTGACAAGGCCAATAAGACTGTTTTTCTTTGTGTATAGGTGGCTATTACCATGGAAAACTAATTTTTCCCAGAGAATTTCCATTTAAGCCTCCTAGTATTTACATGATAACCCCCAATGGGAGATTTAAGTGCAACACAAGGTAAGCTTCCCTGTGATGCAATGTTCTGAACTGGCTGTGGTCATGGGAATACAATTACTCACAATAATCACTTTCTTTCAGGTTGTGTCTCTCCATCACAGATTTCCACCCAGATACATGGAATCCAGCGTGGTCTGTCTCCACCATTCTGACAGGGCTTCTGAGCTTCATGGTGGAAAAGGGCCCCACCTTGGGCAGCATAGAGACATCGGACTTCACGGTGAGGTGTGGCAGCGCCTTGCCCGAGGCCTTGTGGCATAGTGGCCTCCAACCTCTCATCCTGGGCTGATTCTGCCCTGTTCCTGGCCACACTATAGAAATCTCTGCTTTGGCTGCCTCAGAACATGGCCTTTGGCTCACTGCCCATCTCTGTCTCCAACTCTGCTTTTGTCCTTGCTAAGCATCACTGACACTCCTATGCTCCTCAGGAGACTTTGTAAGGCTTGAGAAGGGGATGTACTTCTGTTCCTGCTTGTTTTAGTTCTCTAATATTTAGATGATAGGAATCATGTTTAATGTTAATTGATAACAAAAACATAAATAAGCCTTCATAAGACTAATTTTTAGGTGCTTTCTATAATCCTTGATTCTATAGGAGTCTGTTTTGAGATTTTGTTTTGCCAAATATTAAGGTCTCATTATTGGCATAGGGTGGTCTTGAACTCACTATGTAGGGAAGACTGGCTTTGAATCTGTTGTGGTCCTCTTACCTCAGCTTCCTGAATTCTGGGATTACAGGTGTGCACCACCACATCTATCTCTTTAAGAGTTTTTGTTTTTGATTTTTTTCGAAGCAGGGTTTCTCTGTGTAACTGTTTGGCTGTCCTGGAACTCCCTGTGTGGACCAGGCTAACCTTGAACTCACAGAGATCCACCTGCATCTGCCTCCCAATTGCTAGGATTAAAGCCATGCACTGCCTGGCAAGATTTTTTTTTTTTAATTAAAATTAGCTGGGTGGTAGCGGCACACACCTTTAATCCCAGCTCTTAGGAAACAGAGGCAGGCAGATCTCTGGGTTTGAGGACAGCCTAGTCTACTGAGTGAGTTCTAGGACAGCCAGGACTACACAGAGAAACTCCGTCTCAAAAAACAACAACAACAAACCTAGCTTTCTGACTGATATTCCCTTCTCTTTCTTCCTAGAAAAGACAGCTGGCAGCACAGAGTTTAGTGTTTAATTTAAAAGATAAAGTCTTTTGTGAATTATTTCCTGAAGTTGTGGAGGTAAGAAAACAAAAGTTGGAAATCAGTTTTCTCTTCCCATATGTCCCTTTCAGGTTTAATTGTTTCCAAATAGAATCTGTATTTGTGTGCCTACCACTGTGTTCCTGTAGATGTTGTAGAGGGATTGTAGGCCCTCCACGTTGTTGCAGTACATAGAGGGGTCTATGCTGGCTCTGTCTCCATGTGTATACATTATTGGGTGACAGAACTGGCTCTTCTCCAAGACCCTACAGTTAAGGAAAGACAGAGCCCAGAAATGGGGGGAGACCCCGAGGGACATGTACAAGTATTGGAAATGAGTCTGTCCCCACAGAGGCATGAAACTTGCCAATCAGTAGCCAACCCTCAGGTGATCCACCAGCAGTGGCTAGGAGATACATCAGTTGCTTCTTATAGCACGGGCTGGGTATGTATTATGCCATGTGGGGTTAAGTATTCCCTGGTTTGGGATGTAGTTGAGAGCATAAAAGTAAGCAGAAGCACCAGGCTAGACAGTGGTGCAATACTTGATGGCTCATTGTTACTCAGCATTGCTGCCACCTGATTCTGGCACAGAGTAATAATTTTGATACCTTGCATGGTTTCTTCACCTGTAAAATGGGAGGGATCAAGAGCTTTCCTCTCTTGGGCTAGGATCTGCTGCAGCGGAATGGAGAACTGTATTCTGGGTGGTAGCTTTGGGTTTATGAAAACGCTACTCCCAGAAGAACAGTTAAGACAACTGAAGGTTCTTGTGTTTTTCTCTCAGGAAATTAAACAGAAACAGAAAGCACAAGATGAACTAAGTAGCAGGCCCCAGAACCTTCCCTTGCCTGACGTGGTTCCTGATGGGGAGATGCACCGTGGTCAGAATGGGCTCCAGCTCCTCAATGGGCATGCACCTGCTGCTGGCCCTAACCTCGCTGGGCTTCCACAGGCCAACAGGCATCATGGACTCCTGGGCGGCGCTTTGGCGAACTTGTTTGTTATAGTTGGGTTTGCAGCCTTTGCCTACACGGTCAAGTATGTGCTGAGAAGCATAGCACAGGAGTGAGGCTCAAGAGCCCCGCAATCTACAGTTGCTGCTGAGGGACACGGGCCAGAGCTTGATGCAGGCGGGATGGACATGCTGCTACGCACAGGATGGCCTGCTGGACTCCTGGGCTTCACTTTTTAGAAACCTTAAAAAGAAAGCAAAAACCAAAATGTGTGATTTGGAGGAGATTGGAGAGTCTTAACTCCCTCTTGAGGCTGATGTGGACAAGGGCCACTCACACTTTGGTTTTATTGCTTACTCCTGTGTTGTCTTTTGGACTGTTTAGTAAACCTGGTTTGTTTGTTTGTTTTTTTCCATTTTATTAGATTTGATCACTCAAAAATATAAAACTTTAATGCCTATCAAATAAATACTCTGTGTGTTCTTAGTGGAGAAGCTGAGGGCTTCATGGTGGGGCCAACTGTAGTTGGGGATCTAGGAGAGAAACGAATTGTAAAACTGGCTTATGAGGGGAAATACTTATAGAAAGTGCTTGTTCTGTTCTTGTCAAGGTAGAAGAGTCAACTTGCTCACTGACCACAAACAGTGCCTGAAGACTACAGTGAAGGCTTTGGCGGTTGGCCCTGATATTAATACCCATCCCTTCTTTCAGCTCCTTTGAGTGATGGAGATGTAGGATCCCTGAGTGCCTGTTGAGCCTCTGCTTTGAATTCCTTATGCCTATTTGGCCGGAAGCCTATATTCCTCCTATGTTGGTAGACGATGGAAAACTCAAGTCCCCATGGGCTTAACATATTTTGAGGCTTCTGTAAGTTCTCTTAACATCATTTTTAGGTGACCTGTGTTAGATGTTGATGTTTACATATCATGGAAAGGGAAGCTGCCCAGAAAACGCATCAGATTTAAATGTCTAAGCTGCCAAGTTCTCAGTTTTTAGATGCTGGACTCCTTTATGGCCAACATCTTACCTTTTTAGTATTTGTGTTTAATGTATCTGCAGTTTGGGAAAGCTGACATCTGTAAGGCCCCAGATGGAGGCAGTGACATTGTCTATGTTAGACATCAGTCATCACCAGGGGACCCAAAGAGGCTCCTAAGCCAACTTCATTTCAGAGACCAGTGGTAAAGCTGAAGTGCGACCTGTGTGATCATTTTGGTTTAGCTCTGTAAGTTACAATTAGTATATACCCTTCCTGTAAAGGCTTTAGTTATACCTTCTTTCTTAAATGCCATGCTGTCTATGTTAATGTCCTTCTCTGGTAGGCTATGAGCAGGTTGTACCTGGCTTAGGGGGAGGGTATGTTGCTGTTGCCAAAAGGTGGATTGATAACCCACGGCTGGGTCTAGGCCTATGAAGCCTGCAGCTTTCGGCTGAGATGTGTCTATGCATGGCATGGTGGCAGTGGGTTGAGCCCTAGAGACTGGAACTTCCTTTTAGTACTAGACATTAGTTCTTCCCTGGTCCAGGAGTGATCGGTTACTCTTAGGTAACTGTTTAGTATCAATTCTAAAGTCTCCTTGTTTCCTGAAGTTCTTATAAAACAACGTTGGTTTACTCAACATGCGGTGTTCTCTGTATGTGAAATCTCAGCTCTTTTTTTTTGTTTTTTGAGACAGGATTTCTTTGTGTAACACTTGACTGTCCTGGAACTCACCTTGTAGATCAGGCTGTCCTCAAGTTCAGAGGTCCACCAGCCTCTGCCTCTCGAGAGCTGGGATTCAAGGCTTGCGTTGCCACTGTTTGGCTGAAATTTTAATTCTTGGCATCCCAGAATGGAAGAAAAAGTGCTTGCTCTTAAAGTAGAAGTAAAAAGTCAGCCTGCTCTCTGACCACAAGGTGTCGCACTTAGTATAGCAGCTGAAGACTGCTGAGGCTTGGTAGGTTAGCTCCAAGACCATGCCCCTCTTCCAGCTCCTTAGAGTGCTGCAGGACCCTGTATTCACAATTGTTGCCTGCACTGACCCCAAATAAAAGATGACCTTTGTTCCATTGGATTAAACATGTCTAACTTTGTTTGTGTGTTGCCCTTCTTGGGAGAAGTAACTTGTAGGACCAGTTGGTCACCCTGGACTGCCTTCCATTAGATCTTCCTTGTACAGGTGAAAAGCCTTTCCCAAAGCTCATATTCTATTGCTATTTAGGGAGAGGTGTCTTGGAAGGAAACATCCCAGCTCTGCCACCTCTTGTTCCTCTCCTGAGAAAAAAACAACTCCCCAGCAGCCTTTGGGACGGTTTTTTTTTTTTTTTAATAGGGTCTTGTATAGTTCAGTTTGGCCTGAACTTTCTTTGTAGCAGAGGTTGGTCTCCTATGTGTTGGCCTTTGGGAATTTCATTTTAGAATGGGTAAGAGGGAACAACTTCTTGTATAGTGAGCCAGTAGGTTACTGTCAAGCTGTTTTCTTCTGGGCTTGGGGAATGAGAGCCAGAAGTTGGACTTGATCCTCCTGGGGGTTGCCTTGGTCATCTTGATCAGGGTTCTTGTGAACCAAAGTAGAATCCTTTTGGTTGTTTTCCAAGTTGTTTGTGGCAGGGGGATGTTGAAACTGAAAAACTGGTAACTTGAGTCCATCCACAGCCATAAAATGAGATCCTCACTTCCTCCTAGCCTACCTGCTTATAAATTGTAAGGCAGAGCTGGGGAATCCCATTGCCAGTCACACTAAGAAAGGTTAGGCCACTAGGATAAAGGTAGACCAGAAGAGCATGGTGTTGCATCTGTGTTGAGGAAGTCTCTAGACTGAAGTACTTGCTCTTTCCCAACCCTGTCTTTGTTGAAATGTATTAGGTACAGGTCACTGCCAGGGATCAAGTGCTGGTACTTCCTTAACATCCAGAGTAGCCTCACCAGGAAACATAAGGACCAAAGGCACTTTTCTTCTTTTGGTTTTTCTAGACAGGGTTTCTCTGTGTAACAACCCTAGATGTCCTGGAACATACTCTGTAGACCAGGCTGCCCTCTGTAGACCTGCCTCTGCCTCCTGAGTGTTGGGATTAAAGGCATATGCCACTGTGCCTGGACCAAAGGCACTTTTGAGGGCTTGAGGCATTGACAATATGTGTGAAACACTTCAGGATTAACCTCTGCTGTTCCTGGAGGTGACAGTTTGTCTGGGGCCCGGAACATGAGGGGTGGGCATGTCCTTTGCATTCTCTCCCATCCCAGCTTTGTTAGGCTTCTCTGACTGGGTGTGACCTAAAGCTGGGTTTGCTTGCTTGGCCACCTTTCACTCTTCTTTGGTGTGTGAGTTGAGGGGGCTCTATTCTAGAACATTGTTCTGTTTATCAGAACCCAAACCCACTGGGAATGCAGCTCCCATTTCTTTATAGAGCAGTTAGAACCCCTGGCTGGCAGTTCTTAGCCACAGTTTTTACCAGTTGGAGGTCACTGAGGCCAAGGTACTCACTGGCGTGGCATGGCCTCGGCTAACCGACTTGCAGCCTGAAGACCCCTTCCTCTGGGCCTGCCACTGTATCACGGGTACTGGAGGAAGTTCCGCTGGCCAGAGGTCAATGGGAAAGCTTCCCCCTCGCAGTGTGGCCTGGGCCTATGCTAACTTCTTAGGAGACCTAGGGGACTGCCAGTGGAGGGCAGATGGTAGAAGTTGACCCTGTGACTGGTGTAGATACACCACCAGACTCTCCTTGCTGTAACTTGGCAGAGGTCAGCCTGGTGGGCCTCATGTAGTAAGGGAGGATCACTGGCTGGGATGGGCAGGCAACCAGGTAATGGAGATGCTTTACCTTTTCCAGTGCTGTAGGGGGGTGGGGAGGTGGAGCGTTAAGGTAGGGGCTGACTCTGAAGTGTGTGTGAGAAGGTCTTTGAGATTTGTAGAGAGGTTCCTAAAGTGAATGAATCACGTGGGATTCACTGCCCTGAAGGCGGGTATGAAAGATGCCACAGATTTGATGTTAACAGCACCCTACCCCCACCCCCAGCTTAACTAAGTAGAAATCCTGCTGAGAAGAGACCAGGGACTGCTTGTGCAGGGGAGATGCAGTCCTACTCCTCCCTACTTCTTAAAAAGAGGTGATGGAATCACTGGTCATAGGGGTCCCGCCCCTGCCCTGCCCTGCCCCGCCTTCCATGCAGTGGATGAGCCCTGTGTAAACCCTCCCCTTGGAGCCTGAGAGGCTTGGGAAGGAGGGAGGGCTCATTTGGTGGTGGGGCTCCGGCAAGGGTACTTAACTATGCAGGAGGGGAGGCCAGTGGAGACAGTAGCTCTCAGCTGCACTCTGGCTCATCCTGCAGACATGCACCAGCGGCAGCCGGGCTCGTCTCTGGGCCTCGCCCCCGCGCAGGGGCTTTGAATGCAGCCACCCCCATGAGAACACTGGCCTGGGCTCCCATCCCTAAGCCTCTGGCTGTAGAGACTGAGCTATGTGGGCCTGGGCTTGGGCCACAGCAGCCCTCCTCTGGCTACAGACTGCAGGAGTGGGGGCACGGCAGGAACCCAAGAGGCCTCAGCAGCTGGCTGTTCATGTGGAGTCCCCTAATATTACCACACCCAACCACAAGAGATTGCCAGGCTCCTTCAAGGTAGGCACGGGCTGGGGTGCATGTGGGTGTGCAGCTCTGAGTACCACTTCAGAGCTCGGACTGACCCCCTACCTCAGCAGCTCTGCTCCTTCTTCTGGGGAAGAACCTGAGCACTGCCTGGGACCTTGACCACTGGTCCTGGCTTAGAGTTTCCTGCAGTCAGGTCAGGGGCTGACCTGTGGGAGCCTCCTTCTGCCATGCCTGGTAGGCCTCAGAAGAGGTACTCCTGGTGGGGCTAACAGTTCACTCATTGAAACCCAAGCATGCTTTTCAGCAATCTGATGCCATTAGGTATAATTGCTATTTCAGGTAAGGGTGGGGAAGGGCTTGAGACAGACTGGTAAATGGGACACTTTATGTACCATGACTCCTGAGGTAGGCAATAGCCTGACTAGCCTGTGGCCTGTGCTTTCCAGGGGTCTGCTGTGGCTTCTTGCATGCAAAGTGTCCGGTTCTTAGAGTCTTCTAGGGACAGGAATCTCTCCTGAGCATTCAGAGCCTCTGCTGCTGCCATCCTAGAGACCCCCCACTACAGGAATGGAAACAGTTGTTACCCAAATTGGAAGCCCCTGGCTATGGATCTTTGACTCCTGCATCTCCCCTTCCTAGGATGTTTCTATGTTGGTCAGCTTGGTTGCCTCTCAGCCCCCATCAAACCTGAGGTCCCATTCTTCTGATAGTCTGAGCAGAGCTGAGGGAGTGTAAGCCATGGATTGGTTCCTGGGCAGACAAAAGGGAGATTTTGACCCTTATAGTGGGAGCTCCTACAGGTGTTGGGTCCTAGTATCTAATGAGTAACCCTCATTAGATACTAGGGAAAAGAGGTGCCCACCCAATTGAGTGGTGGCAGTTTTTTCTGCCCTGCCCAGGCTTGTCCTTCCAGAGATAGGGCAGTTGACAGTTTGGGAAGATGTTGGCAGGGGTGGAGCCTCTGTGAACTCACTCTCCAGGTGTCCCTGTTTTTCGTGCTGGGGGTAGGCTTGTTCTATATCTCCCTGCAGCCTTTGCCCTTGGCTCAGCTGTGTCTAATGCCCTTAGTTCCAAGGAGCAAAACAGATCCTGTTAGAGAATTTTGGTGCATTCAGATGTCCTTGTATCTGTCCCTGGGTGGGACTCAAGGGAGAAGCAGTGTTTTCCTGTCCTTTCTATCCCCCACTAACCTGTTCAGAGGAGAACATCTTTATTACTGATTAGATCTCCAGTACTCACTCTGATCTTACTCAGGACTGACTTTGTGTTGGGCCAGGACCCTTGACTTAACTCTGGTCAATGAAGGCAGGAGCATCTTGAAGCAACCAGACTGTCAAGCTAGGCTATCGATGGCTACATGTCTGTCCATCCCACATAGTGCCAGCCTGGCATACAGACATTCCCCACATTCTAATTGTCCCTAGAGATGGGCTTGGGCCTTACCAAGCATACTCTCCCCAGCCATATCTCTATATCTGTAGTCCCCTTGTCTCATTTAAGGTCAAGCCTCTTATCAGAGACATATCAGGCTTGCCCCATGTGAGTCCATCATGCCCTTCTTCATGGGAGCAGAGCCAGAAGAGTCATGTTCATTTTTGTAAAGGCCCAAGGTGCTTTAGCATCAGGTTCTTGCTTTCTCAGAGACCCCAGACTTCACCTTGCCTATCCCCCCCCCCTCCGACATGGGGACATCTAGGTTTTGATGGCCAGGGATAGTCCCTTTGGGCTGTGGTCTGAGTTATCCCTGTGACATTGTCCTGTATAACTGAACCCCCCACTGACCTGCATTTCATTGATATCTTTGGGGTGTATCAGGACAGAGACCAAGGGCCTGGTGTTCAGTACACTAGCCTTGCTTCTCTGGCTTTTAAGCCACCAGAGGCCTCTGGACCTGAGCTCTCAGATGCCCACATGACATGGCTGAACTTTGTCCGCCGACCAGATGATGGGGCCTCTAGAAAACGGTGCCGTGGCCGGGATAAGTCGGTAAGTCCCCAAGCTGCTGCGGAATGAGCCCTTATGGGTCCTTTCAGGTTCTAAACTCAGGGAAGTGGGTGACTCAGGAGCCCTACTTAGATTCACTTTCTTTTACCTCCTAGAGAGGCCTCTCGGGTCTCCCAGGGCTCCCGGGACCCCCTGGCCCTCCTGGTCCCCCTGGTTCCCCTGGTATGGAAGTCACCCCAGAGGCCTTGCTACAGGAATTTCAGGAGATGCTGAAAGGTAAGACTGCCCTGCACCCAACCTCTTTCAGAAGCCCAGGAGGCTATTTCAGGGTTAGAAGGGGCCTGACCCAAAGTGGCCCTCCCCACAGAGGCCACGAAACTTCGATTCTCAGGGCTACCAGATACATTGTTACCCCAGGAACCCAGCCAGCGGCTGGTGGTTGAGGCCTTCCACTGCCGCTTGAAAGGCCCCGTGCTAGTGGACAAGAAGACACTGGTGGAACTACAAGGATTCCAGGCGGTGAGTGGGGACCCAAGCCAAAATACAGTCTTTTATCTCAGGGGCTTATGTACCAAGGGGACAGGATATGGGGGTGGGCACCTGCTGGCAAGATGGGCCCAGACACCACAGGACAGTTGCTGGACTCATGCCTGTATTGGTTCCTAGAGATATTATTGTAGAGGATAAGGGCCAGCCTTTGCCAAAGTTAGGAGTTCCAGTGTGCCTCATGCTATACTAAGACAAAAGTGGGGTCTAGAGTTGCCATTCCCTATGATAGCTTTTAGGTTCCTGTCCACCCACTGGAGCCTGGAACACAGGAAAGACCTGTTTGGGGTTGAGCTATAGGTACTTCCCTTGGCTAGAGTGTACATGGTAAGGGTTCAGGCCCTGAAATCCAGCTAGTCACCTCCTAATCTCCACAGCCTACTGCCCAGGGCGCCTTCCTGCGGGGATCTGGCCTGAACCTGACCTTGGGCAGATTCACAGCCCCAGTCTCGGCCATTTTCCAGTTTTCTGCCAGTCTGCACGTGGGTGAGCCAGCCTGTGTGTGCAGTATGGGTGGTGGGTAGGTTATCCCTTGAGGGTGGGTGTTTCAGAGATACTACCCTACTCTGCTTGGGGCCAACCACCCTCCACCCTCACAGACACTTGAGCCTGTTCTAGGCAGTGTCTTGAAGCCCCCCTCCATCTGCTGCTCTCCCCATAGACCGCAGTGAACTACAGGGCAGAGGCCGGTTGCGTACCCGGGACACTGTTCGTGTCCTCATCTGTATTGAGTCCCTGTGCCATCACCACACGTGAGTCCTGCTGCCCACCACAGTTCTCTGGGATCTGTCCTTGGACTGAGATCACAAGTAGCCACCTTGAGGGGTGTCTGGGCACCATGGGCCAGTGGCCTCTACACCTTTGCCTTGTGGTGCTATGCCCAGGTCCTTGGAGGCTGTATCAGGCCTGGAGAGCAACAGCAGGGTCTTCACAGTGCAAGTTCAAGGGCTGCTGCAGCTACAGGTAAGGGTACAGGCCCAGGGAACAGGTGGGTGGGTTTCTAGCCTGGGAGGGCCTTTTAGCCTAGTGCAAGTAGGTGGCCAGGACCTCTGAACCCTTGGGGTACTGCTTAGTTAAGATGATTTTAGATCAGTATAGATGGTGTTTCAACTGTTAGGGAGTATTGACTCCAAATGCTATCCCTATGGGTGGGTAGGCTTCTGGGCTGGGGCCACCTACTAGTAATGATGGTCACTGTAATGTTTTCAGTCTGGACAGTATGTCTCTGTGTTTGTGGATAACAGTTCTGGAGCAGTCCTCACCATCCAGAACAGCTCCAGTTTCTCCGGAGTGCTTTTGGGTACATAGGGGAGCTGAAGAGATGATGACTGAGGAGCCAACGCCTTGCTTCTTAGAGGAGCTGCAAAGGTCTGCTCCCCAGTTAATAGTTGTCATAGCAATAAAGATCTCCAGATTTCTCCATCACTTGGGTGCTATCTGGTTATTGTGTCGGTAGATGTGGTAACTGAGTGGTCAAGGTATGAACAGGAGATGTACAGCCAGCAGAAGATTGTTCACATACGATCCCAGAGCAGACTGTAGCCACAAAGAAGGACCAGAGTGAAATCCCCTTACAAGGTCTGCAGTCAGACTTCCAACCAGTGAGGGGAGGAGCAGGAAAGCCATCAAAAACTTCTCCATGGGCTCGGGACTGAGTTGACCCAAGGCAGAGACAGGTGGATCTCTGAGTTTGAGGCCAGTCTGGTCTACAAAGTGAGTTCCAGGACAGCCAGGGCTACACAGAGAAACCCTGTCTCAAAAAACAAAGCAAAAATCCAAAGTCTCTTTTTTGAAAGTTCAAAATTTCTCTAAAATATGCAAGATCTCATAATTGTGAGTTTCCATAAAATAAAAAAAAAACAGGTTAAATACTTTATTATTTTAAGAGAAAAAAACTAGGGTACAGTCACAATCAAAACAAGAGCAAAGTCCAAGAGTATAAGGTTTGGGGCTTCATGTTTGGAATCCACTCACGGTCTTTTCCAAAGGGTTTGGCAGTTCCACTTCTGGCTTTGCCCTCCATAGCACATGCAGCTTGCTTATAGGCGCAGGCTTGGCTCCCACACTTGTTGCTGTCCTTAGTGCTTATCATCCTATGGGACTGGCATCTCCAAAATGCTGGTTTTTCTGCTGCAGCTGGGCTGCACCTTCATTAGCAGCCTCTCCTGGGCTCTCTTTAGGGATCTGCATGTTCTAATCCTCAACTTTTATGACCCCCTTCAGTCCTGGAGCTTTTACTATGACTGAGGCTGCATCTTCACCAATGGCCTCTTCTGGCCTCAGCTGCTGTTCATGACCCTTCATGCCTTAAACCTGGGGAAACTTACATATTACGAAGTTCAGCTGCTGGCCTTGGCTGCTTCTGGATCACAGCTGACCCCGCCAAAAGATTTTCCTTCAATAATAATGGTGGTCTCTTCCTAATCATAACCGAATCTTTAGCCCCGCCGACTTGTATCAATTATTCCTGTAAGCAAAAATTTCAATTTAGTAGTTCTAGCCTCTTGTTAATAACAGCCAATTCTTCAGCCCTAGCTGACCAGAACCACAGATTCTTAATTCAAAATAGCAAACAGCTCTGATAATAGGCTTTAAGGGATACTCAAACTTCCCTCTGAAACTTTACAGACCAGGCCTCCATCATCTGTACTGCTCCCAACATTATCTTGTAAGTTATCACGATAGCTCAGAAAGCTCAGCACACTCAATGGCTTTTCTAGCCCCAAGATCCAAAGTCCTTTTATAATCCTCCCCAAAACACATGGTCAAGTGTGTCACAGTAATATCTCACTCCTGGTACCAATTCCTGTCTTAGGGCTTCTATTGCTGTGACAAAAAACACTATAACCAAAAGAAAATTGGGGAGGAAAGGGCTTATTTTGACTTACAATTCTCAGATCACACTCCATCACTGAGAGAAGTCAGGGCAGGAACTCAAGGCAGAATCCTGGAGGCAGGAAATTAACCAGAAGCCACAGAGGAATGCTGCTGGTTGACCTTGCTCATTGTGGCTTGCTTGGCCTGTTTTTTTCCTTCTTAAGGCACGGTCTCTATGTAACTCTGGCTGCCTTAGAACTCTATGTAGAACAAGCTGGCCTCAAACTCAGAGGTCTGCCTGCCTCTGCCTCCAGAATGCTGGAACTAAAGGTGTGAGCCACTATGTCCAGTTCATCCCACTTTCTTCTGCAGCCTAAAACCACTTTCCCAGGGACTGCCCTACCTTCTGACATCAATCATTAGTCAAGAGAATATTCTGCAGATTTTCTACAGGCCTTTCTGTTTGGTTAATTTTTGTTTGGGGTTGTTGGAGACAGGGTCTCACTATGTAGCTCTGGCTGTCCTTGAACTTTCTATGTAGATCAGATTGGTCTTGAACTCATAGAGATCTGCCTGCCTCTGCCTTCCAAGTGTTGGGATTAAAGATGTGCACCACATGTGGCCAGGCATTTTCTCAATTGAGATTCTCTCCTCTCAGATAACTGTAGCTTTTGTCAAGTTGACAAAAACAAAAAGAAAAAAATAATAAAACAAAACTAGTCAGCATAGGGGCCCTGTGAGACCTGCATCCTATGAGGAGGGTTCCACACACTGGTGAGGTTGCTGAAGGGAGCTAAAGGCTATATAAACAACATACAATACTGCCCACTTCTTATGTAACTATGTGCCAAGTTGGAGAGCACCTGCAGGCCCACATGTGCTAAGACAGAAAGTTTGGACTAGGGAAGTCTGCCCAGGCTAATGCAGAAAGGAGTTTCCCTTCTTGCCACCTTCCCAAGTGATGGCCAGCACTCTCCAAAGATCAGAGGCCCATAGAGGATATGCAAGGTGGACCTAGCAGCCCATCTGTTGCAATCTTCAATGTAGGAGCCAGTGACTAATGTTAGAGGTTCCTCTATCCCTACATTACTTTGGCTCTGGCAAACTCCCGTCAAAGAATATAAATTAGCTTCAGGATGTCCCAGCCTGCTAAGCTTCCAAGATACCATCTCTAGTTGGCACCTGGGCCATCAAAAGGTGGTGCTAAGCTTTCAGCCTGACTTCTCTCAAAACAAATCTATGGCAGGCCATCAGAATTCAAGACTGAGCAGGGGAGAGGCTCCCTTGCCCTGGAATGATCTCCCAAACGGAAATATACAGCTGAGAGGTGAGTTTGCTCACAGGTCTGTGGGCAGTGTATGAGGTGAGGAAGTAGAAACAGAAACTGGAAGAAGCCAAAGTGTGTGGACTGTTACCTCTCACCTAAGACTTTGACCCTGCTCGAGGTGCCATAGGAGGGCCCCTCCTTAGGGTCTTGCTGGGCAATGAGGCAGATTAATCAAGCCAGGCACTGAGGCGGTGTTGGCGCCAGTCTGTGTGTGGTAGTAGGCTTGACCACTGACCCATCCCCACCTTTCATCTGGACCCCCGCCACCAACCCCCATTGTGGCGTCAGGGGCTGGGGCTGTCTGGAGAGATCTGTGTTTCACTTGACTGCAGCTTACATGCCAGCTACTTTGATGGGGGATGGTGCAAAGCACACTAGGGTCCATATGGAGCATACTCAGGGTCCCTATGGAGTAAATAGAAGGGAGCGCAAGTGCGGAAGAAGTGACTGTTCTCCCACTTGCCAGTTACTGAGGTCTTGACTGGCTAGATTAAAAAAAGAATCCAGGCTCAGGGATCCATCTTCCTTTTCTGCTGTCTGTAACCTTGTTAGAGAGCCTACCTACTAGACCAAGGACTGGAGCTCTCTGGCCTTCCTTTCAGAGCCCCAGCCCCCTTGGGCTGTATCATCAGTGGATTCTTATCCCAGGAGGAGCAGGGCTCCACCCACTATAGCAGGGGAAATAGTTTGCACACAGAGTGACTTTTCAGGGCCAATCAGTGGAGATACTGATACTAGGGGGTCAGTGTTCTGTGAGAAGGCAAAGGAGGGACTAGGAAGGAGCTGGCACAGAAGTTTGGTTTGAGTACACCTACAGATCCATAAACATCCCATTTACATTGGGATTATCAGGGGGCTGCTTCTATCTATGCATAGCTAGGCCTGTAATTTCTCTGCTCCACTAAGAGCAGCCATTACCCTGTGCAGATCAGGCTGAGGCTCAAAGCTAGCCACCCAGTATGATGGACAGCACCAGCCAGACTCTCCTGAGCCACATACAGGGCCTTCCTGCCCAGGGTAAGGGTCTCAGCTTTGTGTTTTGTTTTTGTTGGCTGCTGTAGGGGCTGTGATGCCCAAGACAGAGACTCACTGAATGGGCCCCACAAAGAGACAGATGGAGACGAGGAGATGAGAGATGAGGAGACAGTGATCAGGGGCCAGCTCTACAGAGCAATGCCTGGGCAGGTAGCCAGGATCAGGGAGGGCCTTGTCTCTGCGCCTGACTCCACCTGCGTCTGTCTGTCTGTTCTTTCTCCCCATTCCTACCCCTAATCGGAGGTCATTAGCCACTTACCTGTAATTTCCTTGGAATGTGCTGTCTCCAGATGAGCCCCAGGGGCTGGGGGCCCAAGAGCAAGTGAGTGGGTGTCTAGGTGGGTGTAAGTGGAAGGTTCCAACCAAGATTCCAGGACGTAGACACAGAAAAACCCATGCAACTTGCAAGAAAGACGAGCAGCCAGGCTTTTTGCTTGTACCCAGGTGTACCATATGGTTTTCTCAAGTCTCTCATGGTCCTAGGCTCTGATATCCCAGAGCTTCATGGAAGACAACCTGGAATGGCTGCCTAGCCTGAGCATGGCATGCTATGGAAGTCAAACAGGCTGGAGCTGCTAATATTTAGGTGGGGTCTCAAGGGTGGGGAGAGCTCGGGGAAGGTAATTTTCTCCTACATTCTCCCATTTTGGAACTGGTTTATGAAATGGTCCAAGTGTCTAGATATTTCCCATCCATGGCTTACGACAAAGAAAGCTTGGCCATTGCTGTGCTGGACATCCTTGGTTTGGCTCCTGATTCCAAGCTATTGTTTTAGAGTAACTGATGGTGCTGACTGGCCTTGCTAACCTCTTTGCTAAGGTGATTTCCCACAACCTCAGTCTGACCCTCTGCCTGCAAGGCTGGGACTTAGAGCTGGGGTATAAGCCACTGCCACAGGCTCCTGATTGTCCTGGAATGCCATACCCAACATGGAGATAATTGATCTGAAACCCTTCCTGAGTCTGGTCTTGGACCATCTCCTGGTTAGTTCTGGCAAGCCCCTCCTAGGAGCAATGTCCACCCTGGTATTGGAGGTATGCTGTAGTGTTCAGTCAGAGCCTGATCCCTTGGTATCCTTGGCACCCTGTCCTGGGTTTGAGTGCAAATGGGAATATGGTTCTCATTCCCAGGATGGGGGGAGGGTCCTCTTAGGCTACGTCTCAAGCTAGGAGTTGGAAGGGGTATGCAGGGAACAGGGGCTTTTGGCCATGAGCAAGGCTAAGCCTCTAAGACCTACGTTTTA